GGGGCAGGTTAGCTACTGCATTTTCACCATACGAGATTGCTGTTTTGAGCACATAGCGGGAGACTAACTTGGAGAGATGGGGCAGAGCTCATAGTCTTAGCTCTCATCCAAGATGGGGATGAATGAAAGGTCTATGGAAAAGATAGCAGCTGTACACTGCTGTATGGAAAAGTAACTTGTAATAAAAGCCAAAAAAATGCTTACCTATCGCCTCCATAGTGCCTGCAGATTTCTAGGAACGGAAGACAGGCTGACAACACAAATGGAGGTTGTGGGAGAAAAGCATTCCTCTCTCTTCATCAGAGTTTTGGTCAGGTTCCTGGCTGTCAAGAATCAGTGATGCAGCCCTCAGCATCCTCCTGGGCCCTCTTCCACATCAGCCACGTCCAAGACAAAGCACAGATCGATACTGGCATCCTGTATCAAAATCTTGTCCAGCTCATTAAGGCACGAACAGGTGGCTCAATAGATACTGCAGGTTTGATTTCTGTTCTTTGCTATCTTATAAGACATCTTCACGACACTCATTTTAATACAGTACCACATTGTAAAATATCCGGTCATCCCTTCAAAAACAGACATTTCCACATCCACACACCACAATTCCTCTCTCTCCATTTCTCCACAGAGGGCAAGAAAATCCAGGACTTAGGAACAACTCCAGCTGGAAGCATGAAGAGGAGGGATGGCAGAAAAACAGGAGGAAACACCAGCTATACTAATTTCTGGATCACATCACTACAAGTGGACCGAACCAAGTTTTCAGGAGACTTTAGAGTGGGAGACAGCGTCAGGATACATCAAACCCTTGGCAGCAAAAAGTATACAGATAAAGAGATCAGCCAATTGGGAAAAAATAGAAGATGGTGTGGAAAGGCAGCTAATGTAGTCTGTAGCAGGCTCTGGCATGCATGTATTACTACAGCGTACCTTCCTGCAAGACGGAAGTGAGAACGGATTCTGACAGAAATAAGACCACCACACAGTTTTGTCACTTGATTCCTAGAAAGGAACTGCACAAGCTGAACAAACCTTTTTGCGTTGACTTAACCTGGTTTGCAAGAGCAAGGCACCCTTGTCACTGGGCCCTTGTGCTCAAAAGTTACGAGCTCTGACCTGCTTTTAAGATTGTGAAGAAAGCCCCAGGAACTAGTACGACTGGCAGCAGAGATAACTACAGAGAACCAGCGCAGAGGAAAAACGTTAGCGAGACACGAAAGCAGCCGTCAGCTTCAAACCCTGCGCTTGCTGAGAGGATGCAAAACCCGCTGCAGGCGCTTCCCCGGGGAGCCGAGGAGGGGAAGGAGCGGAGTGGACAAGCCTGCCAGCACCCTCCCTTCCCGGCCAGGGCACAGCTCGCTCTCAGCTCTTCGTAGCTCAACTTTACTGCGCTTCTCCCGGCCGCCTCCCCGCGGCACGGCGGGCTCTGCCGCCCGGCCCTCCCCGCCCGGCCGGGTGATGTTGGGGCGAGGGGAAACACGCGGGACCCGAT